GTCCGCGTCTTCATCAGCGCCAACCCCGAAGGTAACGCGCGCCGCGTCCCCTCCCCGAGCCCCCCGCGCCGCCCGCGGCCGCGTTTGCCGGGAGCGATTTCCTGGGATAGAGCACGCGGGACTCCCACCCAAGGGCCGCTCGCTGCAGCCGCGGGGTTAGTTCGGCGACGTCGGGGTCGCCCTCCCCGTGCCCCAGGCAGCAAACTTGCAAACTGTGCTGAAATCTGCCCTTCGTGGCCTGCCGCTTCCAGGGGGTGCCGTGCCCGCCGGCGAGGCTTATATTATTTAAGCCGTTTAAGTGCGTTCCCTCTTGCAGCAAGGAAATAATAAACGAGGCGTTCGTGCCGCTGTCATTGCCGGTCTCCAGAACCGAGACCGCTGCGCTGGCGGCTCTCCTTCAGCCACCCTCCCTGCAACGCTTGCAACGCAACAGCACTGTCACCTTTCCATGCAGACCTGCAAATTGGGTTTAAAATGACAGATTAGGTCGAGTTTTAAAATCCTCAGTGCCCAGATGCCGGCACGATGATGAGTAACCGCACGCGCAGGCCGGAGGCAGGCGGAGCGCGAGCTGCTCCGCACGCGGGCCCGCTGCCAGCTCTCAGATCTGCAACTTCACTTCACATGCATACATATATACCTAGTGTTCTGTAAAGCTGGCATTTAAAATGTGCACGGTTTATTGCTGCGAGCTAAGCAAATGTATAAATAGTGATAACCCAAAAGATGTTTACTTTGCCCTGCAAGCAAATTGATGTGAATTCTTACAAGTCTCTTCATTGCAAATAGATTTCTGTCATCTTAACTGTGGAGTTATTGATGCCTCCGTATGAATGCCATTTATCAGGTTAATTTGGTGTGTTAACAGACATTTGCTATAGAAAATAAATAGCACTACTCTTCCTAAAAGTTGGATATTAAAGCCATATATATCCATTTGCAGGCTTTCACCTTATCTGGTTATTTCTAAAACTCAGTCTTAAACACACACTGCAATGAAGCAAATAATTTGGTCTTCTTAGAATAAATGACTTCAGTATCTTTATAGGAGCAGAAGTCCACAATGCTTAACAGTTTTCATTTCCAAGATCTTATTTACATTACTCCTACTTTTAGTGTTGGACCAAAACTTCAAATTAACTCCAGATTTTGCTTATCAGAGCAAGCTACCTAAAATCAGTAGTGGTTACTACTGAACATTCAGAGAATCTAAATGAAATGGCTATGACTGTATTTGATTGATCAATAAATCAATGATTGTTAGTATTGGCACACAAGCATTACTAACTGCATGTGGTATTAACTACGTATATGTGTGTGTGTGTGTATATATATATATATATATAAAACAAGAAAAGTAGCCTACACTGGAATTTAGATGTAATCTAGAAGCCTATGTAGAAATTAAAAAATGACATGTGCAAAACATCTAGAAGAGTATTAAGTGCAAGGAATTGGGAAAAATGTCTTCTTCCTACTTAAACTACTTAGCATATTTAAGCCCTCAACCACAGGGCTTTGCATGATCAGGGCCTTTCTTGCGAATCTGCAGCATATTAGTGCAACTGATCCCTCTTTCTGGCTAGGAGTGTGATGGAGAGGGCTGCGGGTTCCCTACCTTCCTGCAGCAGGACTCAGTCGCTGTGGGCTGTTTCCTGCGCGCCTCAGGGCTGGGCTGTCAGAGACCTCCACGGTTTTCAGTTACATCTGCAACATCAAGTACACAAGATCAAACAACTTCATACACGTGAAGAAGATCAGAGCTTTGGAAACATGAATGTTGGTTTTTTATTTGAATATAACTGTTATAGCTAAGAGCTGTAAAATTGCAGGGATAGTCACAGATTGCCATAGCGCTTTTTGGCTCCCCAAACCAGCCCATGACCCACAGAAGCCAGATGTTTACCTACTCCCTTGCTGGCAAGCTTTGCTAGATAGGTCCTTACTGAACTTGGTTACTTTATCTAGAGAATAAATTCTCTATTAAAATGGGACAATAGCAGTAAATGCCATACTTTTGTTATTATGTTATAATCCCTAACAATATAATGTAATCCTTACATATTTGCCGATCATCCAGCTTCTTTTAAAAAAATCTACAAATTCTACATATACACATAAAAATATAATAAAAAGATCTTCCTCTGACAGGAGATGCTACTAACAACACCCTCACCTCAGTGCCTCCATTGTGCAAGCATAGTATAAATCTAAACTTTACGGTTCAGTCTTTACCAACGTCACTTTAGGCTGCCCAAGTGGCCTTGTGTTGTGCTACTGAAAGAGTTTGGGTTTCTTTAATTATTACACAGTTTTTCAGCTTCTTATTTTTCATTGATATACATAATCTAGAACTTTGTTGATTTATAAACTGTTCCATTCTAATACAGAAAAAATGCTTGGTGCCCCGTTTACATATTTGCTCATGATGCATCAGGCAAAATTCACACTTACCTTTAGTTTTCCTAATGAGAAAAGGATTGTTTTATATAAGTAGAAATGTATGTGTCTGGAGTTATTTATTTAGGCTGCTTTGAAGGAATTAAATGTACATGTACATGTGAAAGGGAAAAAATCTCATGAGAGGCATTTGTGTATGCTTTTGTAGTTTATTGCTATTGAACATAAGGGTGGGCACCTCAGATGAAGAATTATACTTGCTTTAATTACAGTGTAATTGCCATATGTGATGAGAGAAAGGTATAACTTTATATTCTGTAGTATATTTTGGATATACAGCATTTAAATTGAACTGTTGCTTCTCTTAAGAAATATAGCATTGAGGCAATACCGATTTGGAAAAATAAATGCTAAAAAAGATGGATTAATGCTTAGTTAGTTATGGTCCATTTTGTCCTGCTCCAAAATACCATATGGTGTCTCTACTTAGATATATTGCTTGAGGTCTTTTTATAAAGACAATTTTATGTAATCTGGGTGGAATTTATTCCTTGGCTAAAGGAAAACACAGATGTTCAAGTGTATGAAATTGCAAGGGAGGTGTTGCGGAGATGTGGAGACAACTCCAGGACTTTTTTTATGCTAAGTGTTAGTTGTGGTTACCTAACTTTGTACCTATTTATGGCTTTACATGACACTCATCACTGTAGTGTTTAAAAGCTACAAAACAAGCTATGCTCGAAAAAGAAAAACTTGGTAGTTTCAGGGACAAAGTTGAGCATCTCAGCTGAGTTTGAGAGAGCAACATGATGGCAAGTATTTACTTGTTTTTTTTTGATGTGGTCCTTAATTTGAAATACTGCTGTTTCAGGAAGGCTAGGTGTCAGTGACGCGTATAATTTGTATTTGTTAGGCTTTGGAAAGCAGCTTGCTGTTTTCAGTGCTTTGGTGTGACATTTTCTCTCTTCCCTCTTGGGCCACAGCACTAACACAGCTCTCGTGTCCGTGTAGGGGAGCAGGCAGGAAGAGCTGAATGACGCTATGGGGCAAGACCTGAAAGCTGCGCAGCCCTCCTTGCACTGCGGCACCCCGCCTCGAGCAGGCGTTACCTTTTCTGCAAGGCAGGGCAGGTAGATGTAAGCCGCAACCAGAACAGAGAGGGCTTTTTGCTGAGCAAATCCTCAAGCATTCGTTCCCTTTAGAAGATCTGATCAAAACAGGCCCAGAAGGAGACTGAGTTGGATTGGAGCTTATTCCACAGAACAGCAGTGAATCTGCTCCATGAAAAGAGCGACGTCGTGACCTGTTGTGCTCTCTCTGGCTCTTCAGCTTGTGCAGCTTGGGGCCTGGGCTCTGAATTTGTGCTACAGGCACTGACTGTGTGAGTGGAATCACGAAGAAGCTTTTGTTTAATTCATCCTCCAAATGGCTCAGCAGATTTTCATTCATGTACTCACAAGGCAGGATGGGCGCTTGGAGAACAAGTAGCAAGATCAGGAGCTTTTTCTTTAAATAAAACAAGCTATTTATTTTGTTGTTTTTGTTCTCTCTGCTTCACTTTTAGAAATAAGCAGAATTAGCTGAAAGCCAGTTACTTGCCTATTAATTGGCATCCAGAATTATATTCTCTAAAAGTCTGGATCAGGTATTTACCCTGCCTACTTAAAAATCTGTCTTCAAATATATTCCCCAATACAGATATTTGTATATATAATTGTGTGTGTGTATATATATACATATATATATATATATACACGTATGCATCTATCCACCCATATATATATTTATATATATACACACAAACACAATTGCTTTTTATATATTATTAACATACTTATAAAACTCTAGCAACATTGCTGTAGACAATTTTCAAACCTGCTGTGGTGACCTCCTGTGGGAACAGAGTGTTTATGGGTTATGCTGAAAAACAGCCTGGGTTCATAAAACTGTAAAAGAAATTAAGACTTTTGCTAAACGTAGTTCAAGTTCTAGGTTTTGTTTACCAGTATTGCAAAAGTAAGTCCTTACTGAGAAATTCAGGATTTTATCCAGTAGTAACCTGTAATTGCTCGGGATTTTTCAGATCTGCAGCAGTTCATACATGTTTTGATGGCACTGAAGAAGCAGTGATACAGTGGAGCAGAACCTGTAATGCTTTTCTTGTTTACCAGGATAACGTTGCAAGTATTTGCTTTATCTCTTCAGGCGTATTTGCATTCTAGAGTGATTCCCTATAGTTTGGTCTGTCTGTATCAAACATTTATGTGCATGCATCTCTTTATTAGAATAATAAGAAATAGTATGGTCAGGAGGCACATGTGTGTTCACAAGTGTGTGAACATACAAGACAAAATCTTATATTAGATTTTAGAATTTTAAAATGTTTATTGTGGAAAGAGACCTTTAGATTATGGGGATATTGCACTCCTGTTTCTAAATATGTGAATAATACCAGACTTATTTCTTTGAAAAAATAAATTTGTTTGAATTTTCAGCTGCTGTAATAGCATTTCAGGGTAATATACTTTCAGGCTGCCTTAATACATTAGCAATATGTAGCCACCAATAATTTAGCATTTTGATAGATAGATTTTGAAGGTGGTAGATATAAATATAATATAGTCCCATGTA